CTTTTGCATTCCAGTCCCCTATAATGAAAAGGACATCTTTTTTGGGTGTTAGTTCTAGTAGGTCTTGTAGGTCTTCATAGAACCGTTCAACTTCAGCTTCTTCAGCATTACCTGTCAGGCCATAGACTTGGACTACTGTGATATTGAATGATTTGCCTTGAAAACGAACAGAGATCATTCTATCGTCTTTGAGATTGCATCCAAGTACTGCATTTTGGACTCTTTTGTTGACTATGATGGCTACTCCATTTCTTCTAAGGGATTCCTGCCCACACTAGTAGATATAATGGTCATCTGAGTTAAATTCACCCGTTGCAGTCCATTTTAGTTCACTGATACCTAAAACATCGATGTTTACACTCTTGCCATCTCCTGTTTGACCACTTCCAATTTGCCTTGATTCATGGACCTAACATCCCAGGTTCCTATGCAATATTGCTCTTTACAGCATTGGACTTTACTTCTATCACCAGTCACATCCACAACTGGGCGATGTTTTTGCTTTGGCTCCATCCCTTCATTCTTTCTGGAGTTATTTCCCCACTGATCTCCAGTAGCATACTGGGCACCTACCGACCTGGGGGTTCATCTTTCAGTGTCCTATATTTTTGCCTTTTCATGCTGTTCATGGGGTTCTCAAGGCAAGAATACTGAAGTAGTTGCCATTCCCTTTCCCCGGTGGACCACGTTTTGTCAAACTTTCCACCATGACCAATGGTGCAGGGCCACCCAAGATGGACCAGAGCAGTCTGTGATTATTTAGTTCTTGCTCCTGCCCAAGTTCCCTGGGCTGAGATCAGCCCCGCAGTCCTGCTTGCTCAGCCCTCAGGCTGAAGGTTCCCAGGCTGGTGGGCAAGGGCACTGCATTGAGGCCGCCCTCTGGTTGGGGCTTCCAGGTTCCCCTGCAGCGCCCGGAGGAATCCCCAAGGTCAGATCCCTCAGGCTCAGTAAAAACAAATGTGCCAGCCAGGGTGGAGGCGCTGCCTGCAGTGTCCTGGGAAGCCCAGCTCCAGAGCAGGGCTCCTGAACCCGGGGTCTTTCTGGGCCCATAACTCCTTCCCGTCAGCCTCGTCCTCAACCCCTGCATCTCCCCCAGCTGGGGTCCAAGCTCAGAGTCTGTGAGGACTTCAAGGCCACAAAGACTGTGCCTGAACTTGGGCACTGCCTCTTACTGGCCATGTGATTTCTGGCAAGTCACTCTATCTCCCTGCATCTTCATTATTGGTCTGTAAAATGGAATGAGGATGACATGAAGGCAGGGCTCCAGAGATAAAGCATGTAAATGTCTCAGCATGGAGCACAATCAAGAAAAGGTGATTACTATTACACTGGTCCAGAGATTATGCTGAATTGTCTGTAGCAAATTTCTAGATGTCAAAAGTATACCTGGCTCATGTCTGACTTACTTATATAGATGAAACAGGAAAAATCAAAGTGATGAGAAGGTGGATGATAACCTCAATGCCACCATTTTTTGAGCCTTTATAATACACCAGCACAAGGATAAAATGTTGGGTGTGTTATTTCATGAAAGATTTATAATAATCCAAAGAGGTAGACAGACATAACACAATTAAAAAAATTTTTTTTTGTTTTGATGTGGACCATTTTTTAAAGCCTTGTTATTAAATTTGCTACAGTACTGCTTGTTTTATGTTTCAGTTTTTTAGGCCAGGAGCCATGTGGGATCTTGACTCCTCAACCAGGGACTGAACCTGACCGGAAGGTGAAGTCTTAAGCACTAGATGGCCAGGAAAGTCCCTATGACTCATTTTTAAAGTCCAGTTTATTGAGATATAACTTACATGCAGTAAAATTCACCTTTTTGGGTGTACAGTTCTGTGAATTTTGGCAAATGCATTTAGTCACACCAACAGTACCACAGTTCAGACACAGAATACACACTTCCATCATTCCCCAAAGTTTCCCACTGTCCCCCTTTCACCCCCCCAACTCCAGTTGCGAAGCAATCAGTAATTAGATCTGTTCCTACAGCTTCATCTTTTTTCTAAAAAGGCATATAATTGGAATCACACAGTATGGTGAATTTTTAAGATGAATTTTTGATTACACAGCAGTACATGAATATTTTCTTCCTAATAAAAAAAAGTTGCAACGTTGCAGATGAGCCTAAGTCCCCTTTGAAACCACATCCCCACCTGCGCCTCATGCTTCTGCTCTGCAGGAGGGCTAAGGGCCAAAAATGTGTAACAGCTAGCAAGTCACGGCCAGCAGGATCACAGCAAGCACTGATGTTGACAAACTGAAGCGGCCATACGGCGACGCGCCAGACGCATGCCCCCCCATGCTGTAAAGGGCCCAGCCCAGTGCCCCCAGCCCGGGCTCATCCTCTGCACACCTCTGCAAGGCGATGGGAGACCACCTACGGCAGAAAGGCCCCCGAGCAGGGCGGGCATCTGCGGGAGAGTCAGCCCCTGACCACAGAGCTGCAGCTGCTCCCCGGCTCTCACTAGGCCAGCCCGCCCCACCCCAGCTTCTCTTACCCACTGCGCCTTCTACAACAGCAACGGCACTGTTTCTTTAACTGCTGCCACCAGCAGACAGCAAGCCGCCTGGGGCTGGACCACTTAGTTCCATCCGGAGAACTGAGAGAAACGTGGAGATCCCCGCTTTTCAAAGAACCTCCCCCAGGGGTCTTATTTTCACCTCCTACAAGTGCTGCGGGGTTCGGAAGGGGGCAGCACCCCTGTCTAACATCCAGACTGCTGGAGGGAGCCAGTGATCCACTCAAGGACATATGGCTCTTTGAAAGAGAAGTTCTGGTCTTCTGAGTATCCTGCATCCTCTCCAGTAACCCAACCCCTGCTCCCAGATGCGGACAGAGAGGGAAGGTACTCAAACAGGCCACAGGCATTACTGGGGCGGGGAAGTGATGGATCCCAGTGCTCACCAGAGCCGACCCCAGCACCGCTGTCCTGCATCAAGGAGGACTCACCCACGGGCTTCCCGGCTGTCCAGTGGTTAGGACTCCATGCTTCCACCGCAGGGGACACAGGCTCGATCCCTAGTTAGGGAACTAAGATCCTGCAAGCCACTCACAGAGGCCAAAAAAAAAAAAAAACTCACCCAGCATGATGGCATCCACAGCTCCCCCAGGACAGAACTCGATCATAATCTGCAGAAAATACAAGGCAAAGTAATATGAGCAGCAGTGCCCAGCCCACAAATCGGGAGCCCCTCCAGGGCCTGCCCTGATCAGATACGTCTGCCAGCACCTGATGTGTTTGCTTTTCGGCCCCTCTCTCTCCTGCCCAGGGGTTTGTCCAGTCTGCCCCCACATCCCTGAAACCTGACCTCAGTTCTTACAGGAGGCTCTCACACCCAGGAGTTACTTGGGCACTTCATTTTTCAAGGGGAAAAAAACAAGTCATGGAAACCTGCAGCTTTAGTGAACAGCCTTTTCAGCCAAGCCTGCATCCTGCCCCTCTCCTCAGATCAGCCCTGTCTGTTCACTCACCCCCACCCGCCAGCCACCCTGCTTCTTACAATCCAAAGCCGAGTCTCAGAGGACACTCCCACTCACACACAAGCTGGCCAAGGCCTCCTGGACGCCAGCACCTGTCTGCTGACTCTTCTCCATCACCCAGAGCCTGCAGTATCAGAGCATCAGGTCCTTGAAGCCCAGCTCAGGTAGAGGAATCAAAGTCCAGAAAGAAGCCATCACTGACCAAGGCCTCACAGGTTATCTAATGCTCCTGAATGGAAAGCAGGTTTTCCTAATCTCCGGGTGATTCATTCATTTACTCAACACACACCCAACAGGTAAAAGGCCCTGGGAGAACCACCTGATACAGGCCTTCAAGGGGGTCCCAGCCCAGTGCAGCAAATGGAAAAAGACAATTAGAGTCACAAGTGCCAGGCGTGCTGTCACAGGCCCTACCCCCTGGTCTACTGCCATCTTCACTCTTTCTGGCCCACTCCGGGCTCCTATCAAAAACGGGAAGATGCTTTCTCTTTTTTTTTTAAAGTGTAAGTAGAGATGGGTGGGGAAGGCAGAAAGTGACACAAACTTCAAGGCACTCCCAGCATCTCCTCCAGCTCCTGGCTGCTGCTGGGCCCTCTGACCCAGCTCGGCAGGGGCAGACACAATGCCTGAGGGGCGCTCAAGGAGGCCCGTCGCTCTAAATAGAAAAGAAAACCTCAGCCGTGACCTCACTGGGCAAGAGCCAGCTCTCTGGCCATAGAAGGGAGGAGCTGCTTCAGTGTTTCGACGAGAACTTCTAACTTGTAGCCGACTTTCCAGAGGCTTCCTGGCACTGTAAATATGAGGATGCAGTGATGCCTGGTTGGACCCAAGTCCCAAGCCCACTGCTCACTAGTTGCGGCCTTGGGCAAGTCATTTCAACTGTGTGAGCCTGTTTTCTCAACTGTAAGATGGGGCTGCTGATGTGCTTCCTCTTAGCTGGACCCCACCTCTGAGCTATATTTAGGGGACAGGCCACCCCTGGAGGGCAAGCAGGGAGCGCTAAGCTGGGCCAGGGCCACCAAAGGAAAGTGTGCCACGGACGGCAAGGCTGTGGCGCCCTCCCTCAGCCCAGGGCAGCAGACAGGCCTGCCACAGGCTGGCCAAGGCTACAGGCCACGGGAGGGAGCCGGGCAAGGGAAGAGCCACCCGCTCACACACCACCACCTGCCAGGGAGGAAGGACGGGGCCTCTGATGCTCCCACAGCCACTCTGGTCCTGCTTGGCCTGACCCCGCTGCCCAGGACCACTCTTTACCACTGCGGTGACTATCGTCCCAAATAAACGTCATCAGAGATGCGTGAACATGCTGCAGCCTAGTACACGAAGAAGCGAATGTGCTTCCTCTTAGCTGGACCCCACCTCTGAGCTATATTTAGGGGACAGGCCACCCCTGGAGGGCAAGCAGGGAGCGCTAAGCTGGGCCAGGGACACCAAAGGAAAGTGTGCCACGGATGGCAAGGCTGTGGCGCCCTCCCTCAGCCCAGGGCAGCAGACAGGCCTGCCACAGGCTGGGCAAGGCTACAGGCCACGGGGGGGAGCCGGGCAAGGGAAGAGCCACCCGCTCACACACCACCACCTGCCAGGGAGGAAGGACGGGGCCTCTGATGCTCCCACAGTCACTCTGGTCCTGCTTGGCCTGACCCCGCTGCCCAGGACCACTCTTTACCACTGCGGTGACTATCGTCCCAAATAAACGTCATCAGAGACGCGTGAACATGCTGCAGCCTAGTACACGAAGAAGCGGCACTTCTTTCTTCCACTCACTCACTCACTCGTGTGTTCACCGAACCAACCGCCAACCAACCAGGCTTGTTCCCAGGGTCAGAGTGACCTGGACACGGGCATCGACCTCTCGAAGCTCAGCATACCATTCTGCCTTTTAATAATGCTTAGCGCTACAAAAGAGAAGCCCAAATCCTCCTCATCGCTAGAAAAAGCCCAGGCACAAGAGGCAGCAGTGGGAGAGAAGCCAGCTTAGCCACCACACAAGGTCACTGACGAGTACGCGGCCTGTAAGACGGGGGAACGGCAGGCCCAGAGCCCACAGGAGCGACGGAGTCATCCAGGCCTCGACGGGCGACACACGAGACTCAGTCTCTATGAGCTGTTTCTAGGATTGCTTTCTTGAGCTCAGGGGTTCAGGGTTTTTTATTGTTTTGTCTTGTATTTTGAGACCCCATGAAAGCCACCCTCACACCCCTCAGAAAAATGCAAATACAAACAAATGTTTGTGTGCAATTTCACTGACTTCCTGCATGCCCTCAAGTCCCACCACCAAACCCAGGCCAGTGTTTCCACCAGCTACTGACTACACAGGCTTGGCAATGACCTACCTCTCTGTAAAGTGGGACGACACTACAGACGCCCCAGAACTACCCTTAGGATCCGACGAGGTGGCAGGTATCAAGCCACAAGCCTGAGCCTCACACACAGAGGACGCAGGGCTGGCTCAGCTGTGTCCTCCTCTGCTAGGGGCAGCCGAAGAGGAAAAGGCGGTAGGCTTGGCTTCGAGTCCTGCCATGGGTGCGTTCAGTCACTCAGGCCTATTCAACTCTTTGCGACCCTTTGGACTGTAGCCCGCCAGACTCCTCTGTCCATGGGATTCTCCAGGCAAGAATGCTAAAGTGGGCTGCCAAGGCCTCCTCCAGGGGATTTTCCCCACCCAGAGATCAAACCCATGTCTCTATGTCTCCTGTATTGACAGGCAGGTTCTTCACCACTAGCACCACCTGGGATGCCCTTTGAGTCAGCTTCCTCATTAGCTACGTGAACCTAGGTAAGTTACTTAATGTCTTCTCCATGCCTCAATTTCTTCATCTGAAAATGGTACTAATCTTTTCTCCCCCCAATGTAATCAGACAGCCAATGACATGTCCAATACAAAAGCTACAACAACTAATATGCACTTGGTGAATCTAGCAAAGGAAATCTCTAGAAAGATCACACTTAGACCATGCTATTTAGGCTTCCTACAAAAACATGCCTTCCCAAAATTACAGTTCATCAACACTCCCACTGCCAGTATCAAAAGCCAGTATGAGAAGTGGTCAAACCTGGGCGGTTCCTGCATCTTTCAGTGAAACTGTCCCTTACACAATGCCCTTACACAAGGCCCCCATGACCCCTCCCCTCCCAGGTCAGCACTAGGAAAGCTGAAACATTCTGCCAATCTGGTTTGCTTCCTCTTCTGCAATTTGAGACCTCCATGACGCCTTGCACTTCCCATATTTTTTTACTTTTTATTTTCTTTGAGGCAAAGAATATGACTTTATTTGGAAAGCCAGCAGACAGAGAAGATGGCACACTAATATCTCAAAATAGACATCTCCCATTATCATTATTATTCTGCGCCAGCTACTGGGAAGCTCTGAGTTTAGCTTTGGTTTTACTCGCATGAATAAATGTACTGACTTTTCATTCTACACCAGGATTAAATCTACAATATTTCACAATTTGCATATGGACCCCAATGAAGTGTCTTTAGAAGATGACTATCCTGGAATCCACACTTCAAAATGTGAAGCTCTTTTTGAAACAGCAGTCCTTATTTGGAGTTAATCATGGCCTATGTCAGAGTGATGTTCTGTTTATCAACTTTTTGTAATTCTGCCCAACTGTACTCTCACATGTGGCCAAATGGAGTTTGGTTTTTCTTCTTCTCCTTTTTTTTTTTTGAAAGTGGCTTTTTTCGGTCCTTTTAGTTTAAAAAGTTTCATGTCTTGGTGCCTTTTATATGATGTAAAAGAGAAAAATGATGTCTCTTTCATGACATGGTTCACACTGGGTTCCATTACACAGGTCTTAACGCTTCACATTTCAGCTTCTCAGTGGTAGGGTCACACGGAGCTTATAACATTAATTCTTAGCGCTTTTATAGAAATGCATAAAGTTTAATTAATAAAATGATTACCTCAATAAATGTAATAATAACAATAAATAAAAAGAAACCAATTGTCTGAATGCCTTAGGATATTACTAAATAGCCTGTTTAGAAAAGAGAATGGAAAAATTACATCAATACCCACAGAAGGTTTCAGTTCAGTTCAGTTGCTCAGTCGTGTCCAACTCTTTGTGACCCCATGAACTGCAGCACGCCAGGCCTCCCTGTCCATCACCAACTCCTGGAGTTTACCCGAACTCATGTCCATTGAGTCGGTGATACCATCCAGCCATCTCATCCTCTGTTGTCCCCTTCTCCTCCTGCCCTCAATCTTTCCCAGCATCAGGGTCTTTTCTAATGAGTCAGCTCTTCACATTAGGTGGCCAAAGTATTGGAGTTTCAGCTTCAACATCAGTCCTTCCAATGAACACCCAGGACTGATCTCCTTTAGGATGGACTGGTTGGATCTCCTTGCAGTCCAAGGGACTCTCAAGAGTCTTCTCCAACACCACAGTTCAAAAGCATCAATTCTTCGGCGCTCAGCTTTCTTTACAGTCCAACTCTCACATCCATACATGACCACTGGAAAAGCCATAGCCTTGACTAGATGGACCTTTGTTGACAAAGTAATGTCTCTGTTTTTTAATATGTTGTCTAGATTGGTCATAACTTTCCTTTCAAGGAGTAAGCATCTTTTAATTTCATGGCTGCAATCACCATCTGCAGTGATTTTGGAGCCCAGAAAAATAAAGTCAGCCACTGTTTCCAC